CACTAATAAATGTATGATGTATACCAACGCGCTGCGCCTGGCTCTTGTCTCGGGGGTGGGAGGGGACACGCAGCGTCCCTGGGGGGCTGACCCTGCTCAGGGCTGGGTGAGCTGTCACTGAGCAGGTGGAGGGAGGACATAGCAGCTGGAAGAGACACAGAGAGAGGCTTGGAGGAGAGACCGAGTGTAGAAGCAAGAATTATCTGCGTGCTCTGCCCCAGCGGGTTCTGTTTTCCAGCCATCAATCCCCCTCCTTCCCACCTGGAGCCCCCCCAGAGATGGAAAGTCCTCTTGGCTGCCACCCCAGGACAGCACATCTGCCTGACTGGCTTTAGCCACACCCCACACCTGTGGGGCAGCTTCCACCTCTCCTCCAGTCCAGTCCTGCAGCATTCCCATGCCAGGCCAGGGGCTATTCCTGCTCTCCCCTGGCTGGTAGGGGGAAGCAGCCCCCGATGGACGCGCCCAGCTGGATAGAGCAGTCACCTCCTGTATGCAGCACAGGATGGGTCCCACACATGGTATCCCTGTGTGCAGAGAGGGCAGGAGCTCTGGCTCCCCGAGGCTCAGAGCAAGGCTGCTACACCCAAACCCTGCTCCTCCTGAAGGCTCCATGGCCACAAAACCAGAGGAAAATTAAAGCTTCTCCCTGTTGAAGAAGCCAGGGAAGGAGGCTGGTTTACTACAGAGAATGGGGCTGGATACCTTCCCTGCTCCATTTGCACTCCACACAGGCACATGGTTACCCCTCCAAAACAGATGTCCCTTCAGGCACAACCAAATCTCTGGCAGGGAACAGAGCCTTACACCCACCTTAGCCATTTTTCCCCCCACCTCCCACTTGCTCCAGGAGGGTTGACCCAGGGCCACCTCCCTCCTCCAGAGCTGATGGCACAGGAAGAGACACAGCAGCACCCCCAGCCCCAGACACACTCTTGTGTGACACAGCAGCTCTGCTGGCACAGAACCACCAGCCCGAGGTCAGAAGGTGAGTGCACCCCTAGTTCTGTGACCCAGAGCAGCTGACCCCCCCTCCCCAGTGCAGAAAGCAGCAGCACAGACATGCTAGTGGCAGAGTTTATTACACTACGCAGGCTAAGAACCCTGGGCAAGACCCAACACGGGTAAGAATCGAACCAGCTCTTTATCAAAAAGTTAATACTATTGTCAACCCCGTTCTCCTTTGGTCATTACAAAGCAAGAGAAATATTAAAAGAACAGTATTTATACACAGAGGGAAGCTGAAGAGATTCTGTCCAGCCCTTTCCGCCCCTACCCCACTCCCAGCATGTTCCGGTGCTTGGTCTTGTGTCTGGTCAGGAGCAGCAGAGTATCAAATCCTCACGAGATGTCAAGGTTGTTGGGGCTTTATTATTACTGTCATCAATAAAAGCAATTATTACCAAGAGCTGCCATTCCTGTTCCTCCCCCAGGGAGGGTGGAGGGGCAACACCAGCTCCCCCCTCTCTGCCCTCCCGGCGCAGGGGATGGCTGTGCCCACGGGGGTGAGGCCATGCACACGCGTCCTCTCGCCAGCACGCGCACGTAGCGCAGCTGGCACAGGCCCTGTGGTCTCTGATCCCTCGTTTGTATGCAGTCTTTTAAAAAAAATATCGTATTATAATAATAATATGAATTTCTCTTTTCCATTTTGTGTCTTCTGGAAAAAAAAACAACCGAAAAAAAGAAAACAAAACAAAAAAAAACCCAAACAGAAGTGTCAATCGTCCGTGAGGTCCTGCACAAAGAGGACTTCCGTGTGGCTCAGTCCGGCCTCCTGCAGCGTGGGAGGGTTGGGCCACTCCTCTGTCGGGAGGCAGGGCAGGACGCGGCGAGGGAAGTTGGCCTCATTTCAAGGAGAACAGGAAGTCGTGGATCACCTGGGAAAGAAGCACAGGAATAACTGCCAGCGGGGGGAGCAGTGACACAGCCTGACTGAATCCCTTGGCATCTCGCGGGGGGGGG